CTGGAGAAAAACAGTGGAATGGATCGTTTCAATCGGCGAAACTGGAAGATACGGACCGGAATTTTTTTTAAAAACTAGATCGGCAGTCTGGATCGGCATTTTACATGCTTTGGCGATACGCATTTTTCATCCACATATCGGATCGGGACAAGCCTAGTCTATGAGTTGGCCTGGTGTCACCTTGGGGTCCCTCAAGATGCAGCTGGAGGAGGTGTGTGTGGATCAGGAAGTCTGGTTATCTCTGCTTAGGCTGCTACCTCTGTAATGGATGGATGGATGGATGGATGGATGGATGGATGGATGGATGGATGGATGGATGGATGGATGGATGGAGTTGCCGTTTAATTTGATGCTGCTAATTTCTGTTTCTGTTAATTATCTCCTTTTTTTGATTTCCGTTTTTGATTTCATCTCTATATCATCTCTATAACTGAATTGTAAGTTTGTGGGAGCTGGAAGAATGTCCTTTGTCCACAAGGTGTAGATGTACTGCGGAGTCATCTACACCTTGTGGACAAAGGACATTCTTTTGAGGACCAGAATGTTCACATTCTGGATAAAGAAAATAGGTGGTTTGAGAGGGGTATGAAGGAAGCCATCTATGTTAAGAGAGAAAAAACAACTTTAAACAGAGGTGGTGGACTCAGATTCCAGCTTCCAAACAATTACTATTCAGATATAGAGATGATCGCTTCCAGATATCAGCAATCCCCCCACCACATCACAGAGGAACAAAGCACCTCCCCTCTTCAGCCAATGAACAATACCTCCTTAACGACCGACCCTTAACAATCATAGACAGGTTTCAGGTATTACAGGCTAACAATGGAACCAAACGACCCACTCGTCAGTTTCAATTTGCATGTTTCCAAGCAATACAAGGCCTTGTCTATATAAAGACTCAAACTCCTGGAGAGGTGGCGAAACGTCTTCAAATCTTGGAAACCAAGTCCAGTGGATTGTTGTTTTTTTTTTACTTTTACGGAATGACTATGACCTGGATGACTGAGAATCTTCATCAGCACCTACCTATGTACTGGATACTGTATACTACCTATGTACTGTATACTGAACTGGATCCCAGACCTGATTTTAATTATTCTTCCAATTATTCTAGAATAATCTAGTCCAGATTTTATGTGTCTAGGTGTTTTCTAATTTGAGTAGATTCAATTTGGTTGGATGTGCTCTCTTCATCCTCTGACATGGGAGTGGGATCGGAGCTCGTCTGCCTGGCTGTGTGTTTTCTGGACCGGTCCGCCTTTTCCAGTTGCTTTTTGTATCTCTGCTTCTGTTCTCTTGAACCCCAGTCGGCCTCGGCAGATGGCCGCTCACACTGAGCCTGGTTCTGCTGGAGGTTTCTTCTTTTTAAAACAGAGTTTTTCCTCTCCTCTGGCGCTACAAGCATGCTTAGTGTAAGTGATTGCATTTGAGTCAATGAGTCAATGCAATCAACTGGTTTTCCTTAGATAGAAAACTTTACATCAATTTGACTGTATGATCTGGTTGAACTGTAAAGTTCCTTGAGATGACATGATATGAATTGGAGCTACAGAAATAAACTGAATTTAATTTAATGAAATTGATGCATACTCGTTAAAGAGGAAGGGGCGAGAACAACATCCTGGGACTTTGTCCATTCTCGGTCTTGCTATCTTGTCAGTTGGAACCGTACTAGGGCTGAGGCTGATGACGTTTCACGAGTACACGAGCACATGAGAAAACAAAAGTACACATATTGAGAACGGCCTGAGAGCCAGACCTTCTCGTCCAACATCAATATATGACATCACAAATGCACTTTTGGAAGAAAGTTCAAAAATGAGCAAAATATTTTAGAAATATAGTGTCTCTGCAATATACAAGCTAAAAAAGGGACCATAGGAACTTTGAGATACATCAGTTGCATTTGATTTAGATCATTTGTTATCTTCGGTACTACCACACTTTATTACTAACATATAACTTCACCCATCCAATTATATTAAATCAAATAAAATCTAACAATATAACTTTTGTAGTTAATGGTGTAGAAGTCTTCAAGTCAAACCAGGTCAATTTTTTTAGGAAACACTTTTCGCAAAAGCAATAAAATAATGTTTTTAAAACCTTAATTTCTGTGAATTTCATAAAAACAATTAGTATGTAAATTTTAGTGATCTGTTTGAAATCCTGCCTATAGTTTCTCATCTCTGTCCAGGTATTCCTTTATTATTAATCTTGTTTTGGTGCACCTCAACTTAATTAATAACCTCCTAATCTATCATATTAACAATTTTATTCTCCATACCAAATTATTTCTATATTTCTAATCAATCCATGCTCAGTATCTACTTTTTTACTAAAAGAAATGTTGCAGATTGGGCTCCTACTCCTTGATCAACAGCTCAGTAATCTTGCCCATGATGGTCTTTTTTTATTGAACCTCTGCAAAATACAAGCATAGTTAAAACAGAGGTAAAATATGGAGACACACACAAAAAGAAAAGGTTAACACAAAAATTGACTTGGAAACAAAGTCCAGTGGATTGTTTTTTTATTGTATTTTTTTTATTAAGTTTTTTGGAATGAAACCTGGATGTCTGAGAATCTTAACCCAAGTGTGGGAGAACATTTAAAGGAAATAGGTTAAATTATTTGTGGATATTGATAATCTTTAGAGCCTTTTTGTTTTTTGATTTGGAGATTGTCTAAAGATATTGTTCAAGTTCTGTTTTTAATACAAGGAGTTCAAGGTTCCTCCGCCCATTCTGGTCTTGTCTGTGACGTAGACATGAATGTTTTTTGTTTTTTTTTCACTTTATTTAAACAAAGTAAGTACAAACAAGTAAGACAATAGTAACAGTAAAAATCTCTGAAAGGCATAGTAGAGGCAGATTTCAAAAATTAGATGAAACATATGTGAATATTTAAATACCTCGGGTAAAAACAACTTAATTCTTTGTCTGCATTTATATATTTTCATCTAAAACAAATCAATTACCATGAAATGCGCTGAGTCCT